AATCGGTTAGAGAAATTCGAAGTTTTCTCGGTACAGCCGGGTGGTATAGGCGTTTCATTAGAAATTTTTCTACACTAGCTACACCACTGACAGATCTAATAAAAAAGGGCACTACATTCAAAATAACGAAAGAAGCTATTGAAAGTTTCAACAAACTGAAACAAGCCTTAACTTCGGCCCCAGTTTTAGCACACCCGAATTTTAAAAACAGATTTTATGTTCAATGTGATGCTTCGAATTATGGTGTTGGAGCAGTACTTTTTCAAAAAGACAATGATGATAATGAGAGACCTATAGCGTTTTTTTCAATGAAACTAAATCCGGCACAAAAGAACTATAGCGTCACAGAAAAAGAATGTCTAGCCGCCGTCCTGGCCATTAACAAATTTCGACCGTATATTGAACTAATGCCGTTCACGGTCATTACTGATCATGCCAGCTTAAAATGGCTTATGTCATTGAAGGATTTGAATGGTAGACTAGCTAGATGGGCCTTGAAGTTGCAGAGCTATGATTTCCGAATTGAACACCGTAAGGGATCAGAAAATGTAGTGGCAGACACTTTGTCTAGAGCCTTGGAAGAAATAGATTATTCACCGGAAGAATTATTAGGGTTTGCAACAACGGAATTTGAAACGGAAGAATATAGGGATTTGATAACCACAGTTTCAACAAACAATAGTAGACTTCCTGACCTGAGAGTGGAAAATGGTTTGGTATTTAAGAAACAAAGTCATTCATCTGATTCTGATATGACAGAAGAATTCCGATGGAAATTATGGGTTCCTAATTCATTGACTCATGAATTAATAAGACGAGCGCATGAACCAGTTGAGAAATCCCATGGAGGCATACGGAAGACATTAGAATCCATACGAAATAAGTTTTATTGGCCAAATATGATAGTTCAAGTGAGAAATTATGTAAACAATTGCGAGAAATGTAAGGAAAGCAAATCTGTAAATGTAAGAATGACACCAGGTATAGGCAACGAGGTTATCACTGATCGTCCTTTTCAAAAACTGTATATAGATTTCCTAGGTAAATATCCTAGATCGAAAACTGGAAACGCTTATATATTTTTAGTATTAGATCATCTAACGAAGTTTGTATTCCTAAAAGCTATGAGAGAAGCTACAGCTAACAATGTTGTTAAGTTTTTAACAGAGCAAGTGTTCCACAATTTTGGGGTACCAGAAACAATACACTCTGACAATGGTCAGCAGTTTATTTCGAAAGAATTCGGGAAGATGATAAGAGATTATAAAATATATCATATGCGCACGGCAGTTCATTCTCCACAATCGAACGCAGCGGAAAGAGTGAATCAAAGTATTTTGTCTGCTATTAGGGTGTATTTGAAGGATGACCATAGAGAGTGGGACTTGAACTTAACATCAATTGAATTGGCGTTGAGAAATGCAGTGCATTCCGCCATAGGTGTTAGCCCTTTCATGGCACTATTTGGACATACTATGTTCACTTCAGGCCAAGATTATAAACTTGCTAAGAAGCTAAAGTCATTAGACGATAGTGATTTAATTTGTTAGAAGATAGAGATAGATTGAGGTTGATTCGAGAAACAATAAGGGACAATATGCACAAGCAATACGAGAAAAGTTCAATTAGATATGATAAGGGAGCTAGGACTATACGATTTATCCCAGGGCAAGAAGTATTCAGAAGGAATTTTGTATTAAGCAACTTCAGTAAAAACATAAATGCAAAATTTTGTAAAAAATTCTCAAAAAGTAGAATACTAAGAGTATTGGGAAATAATATGTATGAACTTGAAACTCTTAATGGATCACCCCTGGGAGTTTATCATGCCAAGGACATACGACAGTAATTTGAAATAAAGTGAGGACAGTGCAATATAGGATTAGGAAGTGGTAAATTACGCAATATGAATAACAGTTTAGTTTTACTCACTAGTGCAATAATTGATATTGTTTTTAGATAGTAAGCTGAATTCGTCCTTTTATGTTGATTATTTTACTATTTATACACCATATTGTGTCTGTCCGATTTGTGTTTTGGCTGTGATATAAACTTCTTAGTACCTGAAAGTAAATAGTGTAATAAATACATGAATTTATTTAAAACAATATTAGTTATAGGAATAATTACCTTAACTACGAAAAAAGGGAAAAGAGGAAAAAAGAAAAATACGAATGATTCAGTTGTCAAGAACTGTTGCCTAAGTTGTTTTCTTACAGAAATGTAGAGTTTACACTAGGTGAACAGATTAGCAATGCCCAAAGAGTCCATTCTTCAGGAAATTCTAACCTGAAAATAGAATAAATTTTCACAAAGTAAATGCTTATGTGAGATGGAAAATATTTAATACTTCCCGTGACAATGAAACAACACGTCGCTGATATATTCGGTAATCTCTATACTTTTTACTTTTAAAAAGATAATAGAGATTAGAACTAGTACTGGACACCCAAAATTTCAATAGGTGAAGGAGTAATGGAGGCTTAACCCGATTTGTATTGCCTCTACTAGGCGTTCGTTTAAATTAAATATGCACACGGTTGTGCCCTACTGATAAAAAAAAAAAAAAAAAAAAAAATCAGTAACAAGAATTTTGGATTTTTTTGAAAGGGTTGCCTCTACGATTTCTTTTCACCATAAAGAATTTCGGCAGAGTGCTTGATGTCCATAGAAATTCGTTCCAATAAATCAGTCAATTACGTGTAAAGTTTCTAAGTTTATAGTAGGGAGATAAGGAGGGTATGAATAATTTTTTTTTGTTATAAAAATGATCGTACCTACCTGGTAATTGCCCGGCTAACTCTGAGGTAGGATGTGGGACTCTTAATCCCAGGGTCGTGAGAATTCCCCACGTTGGACTATTCTACACATGACACTTACCAGAGATCAAGCAAACATTGTGTTTAGATTATACCAAAGCTCTAATGACACTTAATTACTTTGTCCCGCACACCGTTCCCTGTGTCTATCGCCACCGAAACCGGAGTTTTGTTGCGGGCGAGACAGATTCCAAAACTCAGAGGCACTATGTTTGGATGGTCGGTGTTGTGTTCCGTTTGGGTGTGCTGTTTGTTGGTGTTGTAGTTGCCTTGTTTGTTGTGTTTGGCTTGTTGATTTTTTTTGTTTTAGATGTAGTGCTCCACTTGCATGTTTTTGTTATGTTCCGGTTTGTTTTGTTCCGTGTTTGCTTGGGGTGGTGATTGTCTTCTTTGTGTTTGATTGTATTGTTGAGTTTTGTGGTTGTAGCGTGGATTATGTATGTTAAACTTTCATATTGAAAGGATATTCGTGGTGATGTTTTTAATTATTTTTGTTTCGTATTCACTGTTTTTCATATTGGTTGGTTTTTGTTTGTATTTTAGTTTTTGGACAAATTGTTGTGTGTATGTCAGCTGAAGTACAAGTATAAGTGTGTAGACTGGAATATTAGTTTCAGTTGTTGTTTTCAGAGTTGTATTTATGTAGATGGTAGGAGTTGCCACATGCTATGGCCATATTGAATTTTCTATCTTAAGAGAAAATTAGGAAAATTGTCAAGGCCAAACGAGAAAAGTCCATTGACCCTTTTTCTTGTACATTGTATTTGTGTGTAATCTGTTAGTTATTATGTTGAACACCGGTACATGTTTTTTATATGTGCTTTTTGTTAGTATTTGTTTATTGCTTAAGGTTTTATTTAAGTTTAACTTCAAAAATGAAAACGAGAGCAGATTTATTCTTAAAGTGACAGAGTTGAAAGAAAGTTTATAAAAGAAAATTAATATTGGTTAGAAATTTTGTTCGTGAAACACAAAATAATATTATTAAGTTTTGTGTAAAAGTTAAACAATATTACAAGTAAGTGTTAACATATGAACAATAAAGAAGATGAGTAGTGTTCTTATTGAAAATATGTAGTTTTTAACAGATCGGAAACAATAAAAAGGAAATAAATCTATTTGGAAAGAAAAAGAAAATTTTTGATGGTACAATTCTGGAGGCTAACCCATATCCATACTGATAATAGAGATTAGAACTAGTACTGGACACCCAAAATTTCAATAGGTGAAGGAGTAATGGAGGCTTAACCCGATTTGTATTGCCTCTACTAGGCGTTCGTTTAAATTAAATATGCACACGGTTGTGCCCTACTGATAAAAAAAAAAAAAAAAAAAAATCAGTAACAAGAATTTTGGATTTTTTTGAAAGGGTTGCCTCTACGATTTCTTTTCACCATAAAGAATTTCGGCAGAGTGCTTGATGTCCATAGAAATTCGTTCCAATAAATCAGTCAATTACGTGTAAAGTTTCTAAGTTTATAGTAGGGAGATAAGGAGGGTATGAATAATTTTTTTTTGTTATAAAAATGATCGTACCTACCTGGTAATTGCCCGGCTAACTCTGAGGTAGGATGTGGGACTCTTAATCCCAGGGTCGTGAGAATTCCCCACGTTGGACTATTCTACACATGACACTTACCAGAGATCAAGCAAACATTGTGTTTAGATTATACCAAAGCTCTAATGACACTTAATTACTTTGTCCCGCACACCGTTCCCTGTGTCTATCGCCACCGAAACCGGAGTTTTGTTGCGGGCGAGACAGATTCCAAAACTCAGAGGCACTATGTTTGGATGGTCGGTGTGTGTTCCGTTTGGGTGTGCTGTTTGTTTGGTGTTGTAGTTGCCTTGTTTGTTGTGTTTGGCTTGTTTGATTTTTTTTGTTTTTAGATGTAGTGCTCCACTTGCATGTTTTTGTTATGTTCCGGTTTGTTTTTGTTCCGTGTTTGCTTGGGGGTGGTGATTGTCTTCTTTGTGTTTATTGGTATTGTTGAGTTTTGTGGTTGTAGCGTGGATTATGTATGTTAAACTTTCATATTGAAAGGATATTCGTGGTGATGTTTTAATTATTTTGTTTCGTATTCACTGTTTTTCATATTGGGTTGGTTTTTGTTTGTATTTTAGTTTTTGGACAAATTGTTGTGTTGTATGTCAGCTGAAGTACAAGTATAGTGTGTAGACTGGAATATTAGTTTCAGTTGTTGTTTTCAGAGTTGTATTTTATGTAGATGGTAGGAGTTGCCACATGCTATGGCCATATTGAATTTTCTATCTTAAGAGAAAATTAGGAAAATTGTCAAGGCCAAACGAGAAAAGTCCATTGACCCTTTTTCTTGTACATTTGTATTTGTGTGTAATCTGTTAGTTATTATGTTGAACACCGGTACATGTTTTTTATATGTGCTTTTTGTTAGTATTTGTTTATTGCTTAAGGTTTTATTTAAGTTTAACTTCAAAAATGAAAACGAGAGCAGATTTATTCTTAAAGTGACAGAGTTGAAAGAAAGTTTATAAAAGAAAATTAATATTGGTTAGAAATTTTGTTCGTGAAACACAAAATAATATTATTAAGTTTTGTGTAAAAGTTAAACAATATTACAAGTAAGTGTTAACATATGAACAATAAAAGATGAGTAGTGTTCTTATTGAAAATATGTAGTTTTTAACAGATCGGAAACAATAAAAAGGAAATAAATCTATTTGGAAAGAAAAAGAAAATTTTTGATGGTACAATTCTGGAGGCTAACCCATATCCATACTGAGGGAAAAACAGATAGATGTTCTAACTTATGTGAGGAATAATTTTTTTTATTTAAATAATAAAAAGGTAACGAATAATATTTTTTTTTGTGTACTGTATAATATTATAAATAGTGGCATCATCAGAAGAAATTTATGAAATTTTGCTAGTAACACCATCTGGATAGAACTTCCTAAAGTATGAAAACGGAAGAGCTTTCCCTCAATTTAAAAGCTTGATTAAAATTTGTATCGGAACTAGGGTAGCCGTATCTAAGATTTGAACCACATTATATTTCTGCAGCTTTAATTTAAAAGTTCTTATAAGGAAAACTAATTTATGAAATAAACTGTTCTCAGTGGCTATAGGGATTAGGGTAGAATAAGAATTTAGTTTAAGTTTATGATTTAATGCAAATTAGTATAAGGCTTGTTAAATTTTATTACTAGGTTAATTTTATGTTTGTAAAAGGGGATCAGGCTGGAGTTTAACCTAGAACCAGAAAAGAAATATTTTTTTTTTGTGAGCAGACATATTAAGGTTTGCGAAAATATCCTTCAAAGAGCTCTTTTAGGGATCATAAGAAATAGCTATACAACATTAAAGGCGAGTATTTAAAAAGCCAATATTTTATATCCGGTTCGGTCCTTTTAGATAAATAATAATTTGTTAACGAAAATATAGTAAATTTTGATTTAAGTTTAAAATTAAGATAGATCTTGTTTTATTTGTTTTTTTTTTTTATTTGCGTTTATATAATTATTTTGTTTGTCTTAAAATTTTTTTTTTTATTCAAATATCCTATTGTTCACGGATTAAAAAAAAATAAAAAAAAAAAAATAAAAATAGAGAACAGGAAACCAAAAGTTAAAGGATATAAAACCAGCCACTTATTTGTTAAATGTAATATGTAGTAATGTAGTTTTGTATATTGTTAAATAAAAATATGATTTGGTAAAGTAAATATATAGGATTTTAGTCGTCTCAGTTCGATGTGTGCAGAAATGTAAAAAGGGTAAGTTGTTGATAATATAAAAACAGATAAGGGGTCATTCGAATAGTTAATAAGATGATATAGGTTGGGCTAGGGCATAGATGGTTCTGGATATGACATCTGTTCCAGTTGTATTATTGTTTTCTGTTGGTGTACTGTAGGGTGGTTTAGTGTCAGTACAATTTCATTTGTTGAATTTTTTTTTTAGTTTTTTTATTGTGCGAAATTGAGATGTGGTGAGGGTTTTGTGAACCACGCCAAATATGAGAGACAGAGCTAGTCGGCAACACCACATACATGCCCGTGAGGAAGATTCGTAACAATAAGTATTTAATATTTATAAATCAAATGTTTGTGTGGATATGTAAATGTTTGTTTTACTCAAAATTCAAATTTAAAAAAATAAATAATTTTAACTCAAAATTTGAATATTGAGTAAAATAAAATGTTTATTTTAAGGGTTGTTTTTACAATAAATGAGTGAATAAGTAAATTTTTAATATTTAATCAAAACTCACCAGTTTCAAAATCCAACGATGTCATCAGGCCTGAAGTCGAGGATTCTTGAATTTTTAACTTATTGTATTTAAAGCCCCCTTCACACGAGCACACAAGTAATATGATCTGTCAAAATTTTGTGTAGAAGAGAACGGATGGGATCGTCTAAACGCAATGTAATGAAACCATCAAACATTGAGAGTAAATACGGATGGAAAATTTGACAGTCGTATGGCTCTCTTCATTTTTTGAAATGATTCAAAAAACAAGCAAGTCGCATTAGATCAGGGATGTATTTTTATGTAAACACATACAAAAAGGTGAGTGAAACAGCTGTTCCATCTTACTTTGTTATTGTTTTATACCAATCGTGTAAACACAAAAAATATAAATCATACGACTTTTATTCTCTTTTCTGTCATACGGATGGAATTTCATTTTACTTTTTCATTAGACTTGTCGTACGTAAAGTGTGACCGTGTGAAGGGCCCTTAAATATTGTGTACAAAAATTTTTAATTTTCACTCAATTACGTACAAAAATGACAGTATATCAATATATGTATGAAATTATAAATCAAGTATTTGCATATTTTAAATTAAATATTAATAAGTTTTGTTATAGTTTTAGGTTAGATTCAAGGTAAGTATAAAGGTGTAAAGTAATTGTAATTAATTTAAAATAATTTTTAAATGAAATTAAGATATTTTAAGTTAAAATAGGACGATTAAAATGACGATTAAATTTAAGATAATTGTAGTTTATGTTAAGTTTAAATTAAATTTAAGTTTAATTTTAGGCAAATTGTATTTAATGACAACACAGACACTGTTAAGAAGTTTGATGACGTCATTGATGAAAATTGTAATAGAATACTTAGGTTTAGCGTTTTTATTTTAGGAATTCAGTTTGTTTAAGATACTGGCTTGGTTATTAAAATTTGATTTTAACAATTTTGCAATATTTGTAGGTAGGGATTATCTAAACAATTTTCTCTTTTGTGTTTTGAGGATTGAACGATTGTCGATCATTAAAATTGTATCTCGTACTGGCTTGAATCCTTTGTTCCAATTGGAACAAGGATTATAAAAAAAACACACACATCCATATATCTCGCTAGCTTACCTTCTGAAGGATTTCAAATGATATTTTGAACAATAATTTAAAAATTGAATGTCCCCAAATTAATAGTAATTAAATCTTAAAATCTCTCCTTTATTTATTCTAATATTTATTTCTATTTAAAAATTATATGTTTTATTTCCTGCTCAAATTTCAAATGAAAAGTTTTATGTGTTGTTTCTAGATAACGTGTGAGTAGTTTGAGTTAAAATTTTACTTGTATTTTGTTTTTGTTACAATAACAAAATACAAGTAAAATTTGTGCTCAAACTACTCGCTCGTTATCTAGAAACAACACATTAATCTTTTGCCTTAATTCTCATAGATACTTAGAACAAATTTTATTTGAGTATTTTCGAAATGAGCAGGTATTAAATACACTCAAAGAAAATAATAAGTACTAGCCTCACAAAACAGATACAGTTTTGAGTAATGTGTCAAAAAACTGGATCTGTAATGGCGAAAGAAAGAAATACCATTTTGATGAACTAAAATTTTTAAATCCAAATATCCTTGGCATAGTCTTAGTATCTACATCTTCAAGTTCATAATAAACCTGACCAATTTTTCGAATAATTTTAACTTTAACACCGATGGGAGCTAGTTGAGTTGAGAGCTATGTTGAACTTTTGAACTTTGAGTAAATGTCCTTTTGTACACGTCTTGTCCCACTGTAAAATTTCTAACTCGAGTTCTTAAATTATATATCCGTGAATTTTTCTCATATGCTTTACTCATGAATTCTCTAATTTTGTCCCTTATCAAAAAGAATTCGTCTTGTCTTTCAATTATGGAGTCAGTCTCAGCCAAAATATTCAGTTTACGTAGTGATTCATAGTCTTTTCCATGTGAAATCATACTCTGTACGAACACAATTTTATAAGGACTATTGCCAATGCTTTGGTGAATACTATTTCTTAAGGAGCAATTAATGCTAGGAATGTATTTATCCCAATCTCTTTGATCATCTCGTACGTATGATCTCAAAGCTTCATTGATCGAACGATTTACACGCTCACTAGCGTTCGCCTGCGAACTGTGAACAGCTTTCAAAATGTGTTCGACTCCATTATTTTTCAAAAAACTTTCAAAGTCCTTACTTTTAAATTGTGAACCATTATCAGAAATAATGGATTCTGGTACTCCATAAC